AATGTTTAAGTGTATTTAAAATATTATATATTTATTTTCGACTTTTAATTTATTAAGTACATATGACTTTTGAGCTTGTATTTATTATATAGGCCGTGTTAACTTAATCTTTTCCAGGCCATCAGTTGTATTATTAGGTATAACATAATACATTTACAAATAACAAGTTACACAACATTTCATAGCAAGCCTTGTATTTAAACAAGTTTATAAAAAGAACAAAATAAATGCATACAAGCAATCCTACAATAGTACTGTAACCATATTATAATGTAATATTTTAGAACGGTTGAAAACAATGAAAATAATTTAAAAATTATAGAGTTATGTAAATGCACTTTTATTTATTATTGTCTCATTTAAACTTCTTACCTGTATTTTAGCATAACTACACGAACCATACTATTATTACATATTTACATGTAGTTAATCTAAAATTTAAAAGATACTTGTATAAATATCTAACAATATATTATGTGATAAAAACTAAAAAATGACGTACAACATTAAAAAGTATACATTAACGATCTTAGGTGTCCGTAATAACGTTAAGGGTGACTTAGGAAAATTACACGAATCGATATTATCCAGCGTGGATAACTACTATACTTACTCACGCATTGCTCGCTACACAATATAGCGTATAGGACTAATTTGAATTGTAAGTTAATAAAAGTCTAAGTGAAAAAATATTGCTAAAACCGGTAAACATTAATGTGGATATTTATTACAATTGAACATTAACTGCAGATACTGTTTTTAGACTCTAACTATAAGGTATTATGTTATTTAAAACATAGTTTAAGTATTTGGTGTAAACATATAATATGCTTAACTGCAGAAGTGCAGAACGATAGAATCATAATCTCTAAGCTCTTGCGCGGTGTACACGGTTCATGACGAATAAATTATAAACAATTTCACAAGCAATACACACCGACATACCTATATATCCGTTGTTTATCAAATGGCCAATGAGAACATCATATTTATTTAGTGAACACGGTTTTTACTTTTGTGAATAATCGAGTAGGTATGAAAAAACTGCGGGCCGCGGTCTACGTCAATTTTGAGTGCTGTGTATATTTCGACGGTATTTACGCGTACATATAAGAGTACGGCGGTCAAGTATCTACAGGCGTTTCACTTAAAATCGACTTTGGGAAATTCTCCGTCCATCCGCCTGTATAGAGTGTAGACTCGAATTTATCTCACCGCGTTCTCTCGTACGACAGTAATATATCATATAATAATGTGCATATACAGCCACACGGCGGCTTACGTTCATAATAATATATTATTATTATTATGAAATAGGTAACAGTATATTATTATAATAGCAGAACACGAGGCGTAGAATACGGCGGTATAGATATGACGCGGATTTACCGTATGGCCAATCGCATTATACACACCATGTACATTAATAACAATATGCCCAAGCGCATATCATGAACCCATATAATAATAATAATAATAATAATATAACGCGTACGATCGAAACGAAAAATATTATGGGCGACGACGACTGGTTTCGTCTCGCGGGTGTGTTTATTATTTGCGTGTGCATATGTATGTATGTATGTATGTGTATTGTGTGTGTGTATATTTGTGTGTGTTTGTATTTAACAGTGGATAACGAATGCTCCACATTATGTGACCAGAGGTCATCAATTAGAGAAACAGACCGTACGTTATTATCATTACTATCGTATGCGCTTGTGCACCGGCCGTGTGGGAGTTGTCGTCGTCGTCGTCGTCATCGCCGCCGCCGCTGCCGTTGCAGTCATCGAGTTCGTCGTCGTCGTCGTCGTCGACACTATATAATGTAAAGGTACCTATGTATATAGGTATAGAGGTATAGGTACACGGTAATAATAATATATAATAAATAGCTATATGACTGCAGTGTGCATATATAAAATATATACATATGTATATATTATAATTGTACTCGCCAACCCTCCCCGCGCGAAGCTCGACACGACTCGTTATAACGCTATTATTATTATTATTATTATTATTATTATTATTATTATTATTATTATCATTATTATTATTATCATTATTGTGTTCGGCGGCGGTTGCGTACACATTTATACGCCCACGCGACAAGTGCCTACGCCCATTAATCGTTTGCTCGTGTGTACGAGGCGCACGTGTGCGTGTCGCGTTATCAGCCGAGCGTTATCTATTCGCGGTGTAAAACCGTCCGCGACGCCGCCCGCACACTAGAGCGTTATATTATTATTATTATTATTATTATTAGGTGTATGCCTAAGACACATATTATACCTGTTATATATATATATAATATATAGGTACGTAATACACACACACATATATACATATAATATAAGCATTACAATATTATTACACGGCGCTCGCCAACTGTTTCACGCGTTGCGTTATTATAATATTATAATAATATTGTGTACAATATAATATAAAGACATCTCGCGCCCCACACACGCCCCACAACATATTATTGTACGTTGTACGTACCTTAGACACGGCGTGTGTGTGTGTGTGTGTGTGTGTGTATGTATACATTGTAATATACTTATACCGATGTGTTATTTCTTCTCGGGAATTTTTACGTTTCATTTGTTCATTTAATCCCGTTTACGCTCGTGTGTGTGTGTGTGTGTGTGTGTGTGTGTACATATTATTATACTCTCTCTCGTGCACATATTATATCCGTTCTCTCCCTCGCCCTCCCCCCACACGCGTGCGTATCACTCTTTGAATGCCTCTCGCCGGCCGCGAGTCTTGCGACATTATACGACTCCGTCGTGAAGAAATATGCACGTGCGACTTTATATTATAATATCTTGTACGCACGCACGACGAGACCACGTACAATATTATAATATAATATTATGGCCGCTGTAACTGCAGAACGCACCGGAACTTGCACTGCAGCCGCAATACCATTTCGCTGTGTTCGTTCAGTTATCGTTACGCGAGTGAAACGTCGTCGAGACACGCATGTACGCGGTAACTCGACGAGCACCCTCATCCGCCCTCCTCTTACCCCCTTACCCCACCCCCCGTTTTTATTCATCCCTTTGACGACGAGTCTATTCGAATTTTTCGAGTGTTAGAATTTTAAAACACAGAGATCTACGGCCCAAAGGCCGCAGTTCAAAACAATTGAGATTTTTTCGCACTATAATACCGTAGGGAGGACCTATCCTGCAGAGATATACAAACTCCTGTTTTTCAAACGGAAAACCCTCTTTTTCTACAGTAAATTTTATCGTTAAGCGGAGGATAGTTTTTCCGAAAATGTGCCCGATTCGAAATTCGGACGAGTAGTAGTTATCCTCAGTTATTAAAAATGTATTTAACGAGGATAATATTCTTGAAAATGGTCTTAAAAAATAATAAATTTGGTGTTGTATTGGATTTAGTATTTAAAAATATAATTTTTTCGAATTAAAATTTGTTTCCTGACTTTAAACGTTCCTACATGGTTCATTAAAATTGTGGCTCAATCCGGTGATTCTGCCTGATATATAAATGTAACATTTTAGTTACTTATTAGCCGTATACATTTTTGAAAAAAGTTCATCGAGACCCAATATTTGAATACCTTCTTGGGTAAAATTTTAGCCAAAGTTTAATAAAAATACGTATAAATATTATGTAAGCTTATAAGTAAATAATATTATTTAAATAAAATTCCAATTTTTCTGTATAATCAGATTATTTAAATAAATGATTAGTTATAAGTTAAATTAATTGTACACGAGATATAATAGTTCATAGTAAAATATAAAAAATGTTATAATATAAAAAAAAAAAAAATAACAGAACAAATTTAACAAAATTTTTCGTTTTTTTTTTTTATTTTATTTTACTAATAAAATAACTACAGGTTTGACTTTATGATCGATTGCTTCTAAAACCGTTTTCAATTATATTAATTTATTCATATTAATTTTTCTATCAAAAACAGACATTCTAGAATTAGCTAGTTTATGGGAGGAGAGCTGTTGCTCATTTGCCCCCCTTAGATCCTCCCCTGGAAAGAGAAGTGCCCAATATCTCCCTTGAAATTTCTTTTTTCTATGAAAATAATTTCAAACAAGTTTTGAGGTTTGATATTTACGCCTAATTATTATTAATGTGAATCCTCTCTCCTCAAAAAAATTTCCGTGCTCACTGCCCTAACTGTAGTGGAGGTTAAGAGATCAACTTTAAATATAATAGTTAATAAAAAACTCAACAAGACAACTATTATATACAACGAGAGAATCTCACAATAGAAAGTTGGCATTAATAAAATCATTAAATCCTGCAATAACGTTATATATTATACGATGTTTATACTGAATAGAGATTGAATCTCGTCGTCATGCAAGATTCAGTAAGCAACTCTCCCGATTACATTATTGATACGTTTGGAGATCGTTGACTTGAAGAAACGATTTATAAATAATTATTGTTGTTGTTATTATTATTATTTATTTATTTATTTATTTATTTGTGATGTAAAACTATAAAATAACAATGATTTAATATCGTAATAATAAATTTTTAATTTATTAGATTTAGAAAAAATTTACAGGTAGGTACTTTTCTAAGTATATATTATACAATATATACATATATAAATATCCCACAAATGATTTGATTTGCCAATAGTACACTGCTGCAGCCTATTTGTTTTAAATCTATACTTTGTACAGTTCTAAACATTATAGGTACATATTTTATAACGGAATATTAGCAATAATGCACATATGCCATCAGGGGCGGATCCAGCCAAAAATAACGGGGGGGGCAGTAGTATTTCATAGACGTAAATATAGGGGCTGCTTCCAAAAATTAATAATTAATATACACATAATTTTTTTTTCTTATTTTATAATTTATATACATATACATATTACTTACATATTATATATATTGTATAGATAGTTTACAGAATAAATACATTTTTATAACACAAAATTTAATTTTCTTGATGACTTAGAAAAAATATTAATTACATCTTCAATATCAATTTCTACATCTTTATGAGTGTGAATTAAAGCAAGACCATTTAATCTGTCCTCTCCCATTCTTGTTCTTGTCCATGTTTTTAACCGCCGAAGAGAAGAAAAACAACGTTCAGCAGATGATGTGCTTGCGGGTAACACAGATAATATTTGTATCAAAATTGAAATGCATGGATATAATAATTCTTCACAATACTCAAGTAAATCAATAGCTGTTTTAGGAATATCACCAGACTGAATTTTATTTTTATTTATCCAAAACTCATGCCATAATTCTATTTCTCCTGCCAATTTAATGTTAATACTATCTTTTGAATAAGACAAATGTTTAATTAAAATTTCTCCAAATTTGTCCATAATATGTTGTACTTTATTGCCAAGAATACATTTGTCGAGAAATACTTTTACTATAACATTAGGCAGAAACAAATCAAGATCAAATATTTCAACAACTTCTTTGCTGAATCGGTTAGCTAAATCACATATTATATTGTCAATAAATGGTAAAAAAATGGCAACTCGATAAAACTCATCAGGGCTTTTAACTTTTGGATTTGCTCTGTTCAACATTTTATTACCAAGTCTAGGCAAGGTAATTGAAATATTCAACTCATCAAAATTAGTTTTACATATTTCAAATATTTCAGCAAAAACATCAATGCTATTTTGACGTTTTGTTTTTAATGTTGATAAAACACTTTGTATGATATTAGTTGCAGAGAGTTTATCTTGATTTTTGGATTGCAATAAGCGACTAATGGGTGAAGTAACAGAAAATATATTAGATATTGAATGCAAAGATACAATAAATTCACAGCATGTTAAGGACTTTGAAAGATTATGAGCTTTTGAAGATGTTACAGTGTCAGACCACTCAGAAATACTATCCAATGATTTTACAATTTTTACCAAAGATGTAGAAAACTGAAGTATGGAGTCATGTTTTTCTACCCATCGAGTTTGACATAGTGAATGCAAAGAATGTCCCAAATATTTATTCAAAACAAAAGTGCGTTTAGCAGATGAATTGAAAAATGCTACAACTTCAGAAATAGTTCCAAATGTGTTTCGGATACTCTGTACTTTACATCCTTTTATCAAAGAATTATTTAGTGCATGGTTAAAACATGGGCACTTAACAGCAAATTTTAAATCATTTTGTAAAGTTGTAACAGCTCCTCGTTCTAAACCAACCATTGTAGCACAACTATCAGTAGATATACCAATACAATTATCTAGATTTAGTGAAAACTTTTTAAGAATATTTAAAACTGTATCACCAATTAAAGTTCCACTCATTTTTGGCTCGTCGTCATTTGAATTAAAATTTTCTTTATGGACATCGATAAAACCAATAAAGTCTTCACGAATAATTTTGTCTTTGATACACCGAATAACTAATACAAGTTGTGAAATGTGTGCCATATCAGTAGTTTCGTCAAACATGATACTAAAAAAAGGACTGTTATTTACATCTGTCAGTATTTTTTGAAGGATTAAATCACCTATAATAAATATTAATTTATTTTGAGTGGTTTTGCTAATGTAAGTTGCGTTTGCTCCAGTTTGTTCAAAGTGTGATTTGAGTAATAAGTCACCAGATTCCATACGAAATTTAAGTAATTCTCTAAAGTTACCCTCATTACCCAATGGTTTATCAGGGTTATCAAAAATAGACCCATTGTCTCTATGGCCTCGAATTGGTATATTTTGTTTTCCCAAAAAAATAATTGTTTTAATTATGGGTTTTAATCGTTCTCGGTTCTCTTTGACTATTTTAAGGCGATGACTATCTAGTTGGTTAATTATATCCGTTTTTGGATTATTAAAACTTTTTATAAAATTTTGTCCATCTTGAATAGCTTTGATATGATATTGATTATTTTCATGAGTTTCTAAATTACCTTGTTTTCCTAATAACTTTGCGAAATGAATAAGTGGTTCAGTTACCAAAGTCTTCAATGGCATGTGATTTTTGTTGCCACACCCAATATTTGTGTGAACAAAAATGGAGCAATATAAACAATATAAACCTTTTGACTCTTTAGAATATACAAGCCAAGAATATATCTCCAAATGATTAACTCTTAAAAGCGTTTTCTTCTTTTCCTTTTAATATGTTTGGAGTAAGGAAAATCAAAATTTTGGAGGCTTCCAATGTTGTGATTGCTAGTTTATATTTGTATTTTCATCAACAGTGACATATTTAAACTATGAACAATATCAGCATATCACCAAAATATTGTCAACTGCAGTGAGAATTAACATCATCTATTACTTAAAAATAAATATTTCATAGTATACCTATTTAATAATTTATAATATAAATGTTGTTCATAATTTATAAGTTATAAGCTGCAATTAAACAAAAATAAATAAATAACTTCACATTTTGTTTATAATTTTATAATAACTTTGAAATTAGTACTTGCTCTACTTGTATTTTCACAAACTGAGTAGGTACCTGGTACATTAATAAATAATATATATTATATAATATTTATTATTTAATAATATATACAAGTATCTTTCAAAATGTTATTTTTACATGATTGTATCTATGAGTACCTACCTACTAACTAATTTATCATAAATTAAAAACATACCTTGTCTAAATTTGAGTCAGCAAAATTAAATTTTCAGTTACACAACTATCATGTTCTTTTCGGTCATCTGATTTACTAACTTTTGAATTATCATAATTTATGGACTATAAAATAAAAATTTCAATAATCTTATTTTAATTTATATGTAGTGATGGGTATTAAGTAATATGTATGGGTATTTGAATTAATCAATATCTTTGTAAACTGTTTATATTAAGTTGTTTTAATTATTTTTACAAATTAATAGCAAATGATAGGTACTATTTAGTAAACTGTTATAATTATAATAATTTGTAGATTCTAAACAAAATAATATAAATTAAGATAATAACAAGTACCTACTATATTAAATATCAATGTAAAAATTAATAGTAATAATAATAATTCTGTGTAATAATAATACTTACTTTATTTTCAGTACATAATTTTAAGTAATTGTGAAGAGAATTTTTCTTTTATCCATTTGAAAATTTTAATCATAACATAATATAATAAATAAAACAACAAAAATAAAACACTCAGTGGTGATTTCGGTCGTGTGCTCGTTTACACTAAACGAAAGGTGTGAAATCATCTATTTGGTGCATATGACAGGCGATGGCAAATAACTTGAACAAAGACATCCGTCAACAGTTTAATGTACCTATTACCCTGCAACGCGACAATTGTAGGTTTCAACAAAATCAATAAAATAGACTCATTTTCGATTTAATCTAATCAAACCATGCAATTTCTTGATAACGTCAAAAACATGTTATTATATATCTATTATCTATGAATAGTGATCGGTAACCAGCGACGCGGGCGCTTATTACGCTTATATACTTAACAATTTATATGGATTTGAATTTTTGTGTGAACGGGGGCTGTACTTGTTAAACCCTAGATCCTCACTGTTCTTAAGTATTTAACGTAATCATGTTCCATTGTAGTATATGTGATAAACCTTTACATTAATTAAAAATGTACGCGAACATGTCAAGTCACATGATGTACCTGATAAGATTTCTTGCAGTATATGCTCAGAAATATTTTGAAGATAACCTCCTCAGACATAGCAAGGAT